TATATGCCCACTTATACTGATCACTTCAGAAAGGCTACACGCTGCAGAGAAGTGTTCAGGTCTGAGGGCATGGCTACATTGTGGACTGACTTATGTGAGAGCCAGACTTTTGCTCCCTTGGCTAATTTGCTACCTGCTTTTGGGCCGTGACTCAACTCCATTTCACAAGAGCCTCCTACCTCAGTCTTCATTAACAGAACGGGGTGGTTGATGGAGACTCCGGCAGCCTGTCTGGGGTCCTGATTTAATTTAAATGACAAACTTTTGCTGCTTTAAACAGCCAAACAAACAAAAACCCAGCGACTCACTGCCTTAGTCTGTGGCTTAAAAAAAAAAAAGAAGAAGCAAAGCCTCATTAGATATCAGTGCTAACTATTTACTGCTTCTGTCCTCCGTGTCTGTCAGCGTCTATGGTCCTCCACGGTGTGTCGCTAACAAAGCCAGACTGAATACGGGAGGCCATTGGTCATTCATGGGCAAGCATTTTTTAATCCTGTTGTAAATAAAAAAAGATACCAAAACCTCACCCATTTATTTCCTTCCTGGTGTGTTTGGGCTTCAGCTGTGTCAAGCCAAAAACAGTAAAGGTGGGGGAGGGAGGAAAAGGGTGGCTCTGTGTGTGTGTGGCTGATATTTGCTCTCATTTCATAATCCTGTAGGCATGGGTGACTCCTCCTGGCACTAGGAAGGTGCACTGCCCCTTTGTCCCCCCACCAAAAATGTGATTGTTACTTGGGGTGCCCCCCACATGTCCCTTCCCGGCCCCCTGGGTGGCCCTCTCTGCACTCCCTCCCGCTGCTGACACCATAGAATCACGGGGCTGGCAGAGACCTCAGGAGTCATCGAGTCCAGCCCCCTGCCCAAAGCAGGACCAACCCCAACTAAACCATCCCAGCCAGGGCTTTATCAAGCCACGACTTAAACACCTCTAGGGATGGAGCTTCCACCCCCTCCCTAGGGAACCCATCCCAGTGCTTCACCACCCTCTAGGGAAATAGTTTTTCCTAATATCCAACCTAGACCTCCCCCACTGCAACTTGAGACCATGGAGAGAAGTAGACATACACAAGGTGGGAACTCCATGATTAGTCTGCCTCTAGCTTGATCTGTTGGGGGAGGTGAGGTTTCTCTCCCACTCCTCAGGTTATTTCTTAGAATGAGCTGGATCAGCATGAAGTACTGTGTTTGCAATTGCTAGCTCCACTGGACCCCTGCTGCAACAATCGCCCCAGGAGCGGACTCCTGCGCTTGTTTGTCTGCAGAGCTGCTCCGACTTAGCTATTGGCTGCCATCAGTTGCTCTCGCTGTGCTCCTGCTAAAGCAGGGGTGGGGACCGTCAGGCCCAGGGGCTGGATGTAGCCCCTGGCTTGCCTGGATCCAGCCCCCGAGGCTTAAAGCTTCCTCCCTTCAGTATTGGGAAGCCCATGGGGCTAGAGCACACAAAATTTACTAGCCTGGGCCCCCCGAGGCTCTGCTGTGTGAGGAGAAAGCGGAGAGTGTCTCTCCTCAGGCAAGGGCCTTGTCTGAGGGATTATTTTGGGGATTTTTGCTTCTCACGTGCGGCCCCCGACTGATTTTTCTATTGGTCAGCAGCTCCAGAAAAAGGTTCCCCACCTCTGCTCTAAAGGCCTGCCTATGCTATGAAAGCACATCGTATTAAAACGTGTCTGTCCACCTACTATAAAAGGCAGCTGAGCCTTGATGTGGTCCCGAGGGCTAAACACAACCAGCCAAAACAATGCGAGACCCGGTCGTTCTTTTCTGTGCAGCTTCCCTCCAAGGGAACCCTGTCACGGCCAGGTTCAGCCAAGGACAAGACTGGCTCAGTTGAGCCAAATGGGATTTAGCTGAGCTTGCCCTTGTATAGTGTGTGTTAAGCAATTGTGGCTCAGCCGGAGTGTGCACCAAATCCAGGAAGCTTTTTCTCCCCTCTGATCATTTTTCTTTTCCTGTCGTTTATCTCTGTCAACTCATCGGCTACGTCTACACTGGCCCCTTTTCCGGAAGGGGCATGTAAATTTCACGAGTCGTCGTAGGGAAATCCGCGGGGGATTTAAATATCCCCCGCGGCATTTAAAT